GGTGGCCGATGTCCGATATTCAGTTTTAAGGCCGATACCGATAGGGGGCCGATTATATCGTGCATCCCTAGTTGATATGTTATTTTAATCAAACACGTTTGATAAAGGTTGAGCTTTCGCCAAAGTGGTTACAGACCTGGAGCCATTGCTGATGAGGATACTCTCCCGGATGGTGAGTGTGCAGTAATACCACACCAGCAGGAAGTTGAACAGAGCGTCCAGGACTCTGGGATGAGAGCAAAAATGATGAAAGAGGTGATCCATTGTCACAATGATCAAACACACGGAGCTCCTCCTGATGCTTTAGCCAGTGAATTCCCACAGACTCAGGCCGTTTCTCAATATGTGTACTTGTGCGTACTCGTGAAACGTCATCAGCCTCAGCCCAAGTACTGCTCCAACTCACAAGAATAAGAAGACCGAGAACAGATAAAGTCCCCGGATGTTGTTCTCGCCCCTCCCTCTTTACCCAGCATGCATCAGAGCAGACTTGTACGTTCTCCTGATTGACAGCACTGCGGCAGCAGCAGCTTCCAGGGGAGCGCCCACAGAGCTCAGAGTATGAAAGGAAAAGTTCGATCAGCAAGGAATTATAAATTTAATGAATTTAGCATTAATCAGTAAAAAATTAAAAATTATTTTTTTCCATCACTGAGTCCGGGAGCGGCCATTTTTGCCCAAATATACTAACGCCTCACTCCTGACATCTCCCGGCAGTGACGTCACGGTGCGCTAAGCCTACACTGCAAAAACAATCTAGAAATAAGTCAGACATTTCTCAGATGAAGTGTATTAACCCTTGAGTATGTAAATAAGATGATTTGCCAATGGAATAAGATTTTTTACTCTTAGAATAAGATAATTAGATGATATGCGCTTGAAATAAGACAATACAATTGTTCTTTCTTAATTTAAATGTAATTTGTCTTGTTCTATTGGCAAAGTGTCTCACTTTCCTCCTCAATTCAAGATGAAATGCTCTTATTCTAAGAGAAAATTACCTATTTAGATTTACATGTTGTTGCAGTTTAGCGCCAAAATCAATGGGAACTACTAAACACATCTGCAATCAACAACAATTATTGAAGATTTCCAAAGGACTTCACCATTGAAATTCACCAGAGCTATAGTGAAACTGACAGTGCCCACGTGCATGGCACATTCAAACTAAAATTACTCTTAAACACTTATCATTTATTGAACAGTATGTAATAATTTCATAATTAAAGTACTTTCAGAAGTTTAAATTCTGAATATGATTAGACTTTTCCTTTAAGCTAAAACCTCTCTTTTTGTTGCCGCTGTTTTATAAAACTACGTTTTAAGATAATTTAAGGTGAGAATATTTTACACTGGAAAAAATTGAATTCTAGATAAGCCATTTTTTCTTAAAATAAGTGCATTTGTTCTTGTATTGAGGAGCTAAAAGAGACATTTTACCAATGGAACAAGACAATTTACACCTAAAATAAGAAAACACAATTGCATTGTCTCATTCCGAGTACATATTATCTAATTATCGTCTTTTAAGAGTAAAAACTCTGATTCCATTGGCAAACAATCTCATTTACCTGCTCAAATTAAGGGTAAATACACTTTATTTAAGAAATGTTTACTTATTTGTAGATCATTTTTCCAGTGCTGATTTAGTGCGTAATTTTAAAATAGTTCCGAAGTTGTGAGGACCGCGGCAATCAGCGGTGCTACCAGGCTAACAGCAGCCAGGGCTAACGTTAGCCGGTCTGCAGCAGCCCTCTCTCTGCATAGCCGTGTGTGAAGGACCGCTGGCTCTGATGGAGGTTTTTTATTTTTTATTTTGCAAAATATTCATTTAATTTGTGTTTATCTGACTGTGTTAATTATTATTCCCCCAATAAATGAAAAAAAGTAAGAATTTATCATTATATAGAGTCTGTTAATAACAGGAGGTGAAATGCAGCTCCAGACTGGCAGATAATGTTGTGATGTCATTAGTACATTTCTGTTCCAATTGACCCATATTTATGCTGCGTGCTTCCGTTCTCCACACTTTCCTGTGTTCTTCTTTTTAAAGAACATACTTGGCGAGGACACGAGTCCGTACTCACGCTCTTGTGAAATGAGAAACGGATTCGGTCAAACCTCTGATTAACTTCAACCAACGTCAACCAGGTGGGAAGAAATTATTACCTGTAGCTGAACAAAAAGCGACACGTGAAGGAAAACACGAAGAGGATGACGGTCAGGACCAGTTTAAACTTCTCATATTCATCTTTATATGCAAACCTGATGGAGGAGAAAGAGAAGGAGAGGATTGGATAAACGGCTCTGAAGCTTTAGCTCTGTCGCAGTTAAAAAAAAGAAAAGTGGACTTACTTGGCCTGCTTGTTCAGGAGGGTGACATTAATGTTGCCCAAAACAAGCGTGAGGTACAACCTAAACAGGAGGAAGTAAGAACTGGTCAAAGAGGAGAGCAGCACAGCGGTGAACTAAATAAAACAAGTTCGTACCCATTTTTCTTTGGCAGAAATGCTTCCATCTCAAAGAAAACATTTGTTTTGTCTTTGATGGACTCTTCCATTTCAGCAATCGACTCGATCTCTTTTGGGCTCAGCGTTGACGTCGGGGGGTTCTTTTTGCATCTGATTTAGAACATAGTCGACACATGAAAAACAAAAAACAAAGCAAACCGAACAGGAGTTGCAGTTTCCTGCCAACACCGACCCCTTTAGTGACAAAGTGAGCTCTCCCAGTTTCTTCCTCTGCCGTGCTATAGCACTAGAGCAGCTGGTCTGCAGTTTGCTCACTTCTTCAAGCTTCTGTTTATAAAGGCGATGAGTGTCCTGCAGGGAAAAAAGGAATTAGAGAGATTCAGTAAACAGAAAACACAACAGGACCTCTAAATCAGATGAGATCTGAACAGCAGAATGGACACAAAGTATTAAATACAGGTGAGGTACATCTCAACTAATCTGAAAATGTGGAAAAGTTTATATATTTTATTACTCCTTATAGAAAGTAAACCTGTATATATAATTTTTTATTTATCACGCATAAGAGAACTTTTAACTTAATACTCTGTGAGCGCTCCCCTGGAAGCTGCTGCTGCCGCAGTGCATGCTGGGACAATGCAATCAACTGGTTTTCC